CAAAATGAGCCATTCATTTATTTTGGCCTCGTTGTCATACGTAAATTATGTGCCCAGCTCTCGCAATTTATGGCATATGACAATAGTCAAGCGGCGATCCAAGCATAAATTTTGATTATAACCCGCAGACGCAGCTGCTGCTGCTGCAGCTGTTGCTCCTTTAGCTCCTTCAGCTCCTTCGGTTGCTGCTGCTGCTGCTGCTGCGGCTGCTGCTGTTTGCCAGCAAAATTGCGACCAAAGTTTGCAATCGTTGAAAAATCATCAACTGATTGATGACAAGGCGTTGGTCGCACTCGCTGTCTCTCTCTCTCTCCCTATCTCCCCCTCTCGCCCTCGCCCTCTCCCTCTCCATCTACCTATCTGTCTGTGTGGGTGTAAGATATTTGCTTACCGAAGCCAGGCAACAGGACCTTTTCGAGACACGGTGATGACTTCGTCGTCAACATTTTCGTTCTTGTTGTTGTTGTCATCAGCGTCGTTGTCGTCTGTCGATAAACACGTTCATCGCTCATTTCCATTTCCGTGCCGTCTGCCAATTAGTGCGCATTACCGTGTAATAACACACAAATTGTGCAAAAAATTTTCGATTTTCAAACTCAACTGAGCAGCAATCAACAAATACAGTTTGACTTGACGAAAAATGCTGTGAAAACTAATTTTCTACAGTTGTTTTCCGCTCACCCCATCTCCCCAGCTCTCCTACCCGCCCCTCTGATCGCCCTTCCTTTTATTTTTTTGCAATGTTTGTTTGGCATTTGCTTTGCTGCGATTTCTTGATAATTTATGAATGACTGTAAATTGCTTTGGGCGCTGATTGAAAGTGACACGAAAAGTGCCGCAGTATATCAGCGTAGCGCAGCTCAGCCGCCTGTCGGCCCCGCCCCTCTTTTGTTTCTACTCACCTTCAACTTCAACGTTGTTGGAGCGGCCATGCAAACAGAAAATCTGCGAAGGTGTCGCTGGCGCATTGTTGTTGTTGCCATTGCCATTGCCATTGCCCGTTTCCACGTTCTGCTGCGCTGGTGTTGAGCCGTAACTATTTGAGCGCCTGCAATAGAGCGAGACAGCAATACAATAATAATATGCATGCATTTGCTTTTGTGTGTGT